TTTGACAGCTCAGGAATGCGACTGTCCAAGTTTCAATGCCTCAGCGTCCCTTCCTTCCCTTCTTTTTCTCTCCCCCTGCTGTTAGCCAAAGAGTGAGCCCAGAGGTGCGCTGGTGGAGAGCTTGGCTGGCGTCTACGACTCCACAGCCGTGCAGCCCTTCCAGTACCACATGCGACTCTGGCCTAATTCGGGGTGCCTAGTTGCTGCTACCTGGTCCTCTGGCGGGGAGACCTGCATCCTCCTCGACGTTCCAGCACTTTCTTCCACCGGTGGTGGTCTGCCGCTCGACAGTCTGCCCAAACTTCTTACTGAGATGGTCTTACCTTCTACCAGGGCTCCCATCGCTCTCGGCATGAGTGCTGTTCTGGTGAGTACTACTGCAGTTCACATGTCAACCTCTGATTTGTTCCGTCCCCCCCCCGCAGTAGTCGTGCCGATCGTCGACAGTTTCCACCGTGTGATCCGCGTGCAGGCGGTGGCTTGCGCGGGAATTAGATTATAGAAGGTTAGTTCGGCGAGTGTACGCATACTTTCGATAAATTCTCGTCAGGCCGGTATATTTATATGGAAACTGGGTGCAAGTTCAAAGGTGTTCGTCTTTTTGGACAAGTGAGTCGTGGGAATGGGGGTGGGGTCGATAAGCGATGGCTGGTTGTGAGCGTAGGGTTCGATAAAGCAGTCTAGGGGAGGGAGGAGGGGGAGGGAAGCCAACAGAGCGTGGATGACTGCATGTCGCTAAGTGACTGAGGGCCAGGCCAGCTGTGGAGCTTGTAGGAAGTTCTTTTGTGCATTCAACGCGGGCTTCATCAGCCTGATAGCGGTCGCTTCTGCTGTTCCTAGCAGGCGCTGACTCAGGGACTTCGGATACTTTGGTAGGACCTTGTAGATCACTCGGAAAGCGTCGTTGGTGTCCACCCGATATCCAGAATCGACTATGTGCGCCGGAATAGAGCTGTTTATGCTCCTTACTTCACCTTTTTTCAGCCATGCCGGGATATGTTCCTTTATTCTTTTGGATAGGCGCCGACTCGCGCCACCAATATAACCTGCTCCACAGGAGCAAGTGAAAGAGTATACACACATGGAGGTAGTCTGAGCTGGTAACCTATGCGTACCTTTCCCAAGAAAGATTGGGT